GCTACACCATTTTGTTGTGGTGTACGTGCGACAGATAATTGATGTAGAATTCCTTGAGAATTGCAGTAGGCTTTAATTACTTGATTCACGAACTCTGTTCCACGATCAGTTCGGATTTTTGCAATTTTCAAGTCTTTCTCATTTTGTACTAACTTAAGTAGTTCTGGCAACTTTTGCTCCACTTCATTTTTCTTCTTGAGAAATATCATCCATGTGTACCTGGAAAAATCATCAACAACAACTAGTGTATATTTCTTACCACTTAGACTTACAGGGTCTACTGGACCGAATAGATCCATGTGTAGTAGACTTAGCGGTCTTGTTGTAGATTCTTGAGCTTTGGATTTGAATGATGACTTGATTTGCTTTCCTCTTTGAATGATGACTTGATTTGCTTTCCTATTTGATCTTTCTTGTAAATGATGTCGGGTAGACCTTCAAAGAGTTTGTTTCTTGCTAGCTTGTTGATAGTCTTGAAGTCTAGATGGTTCAACTTCCTATGCCATTCCCAACTTGTTGCGTGTGAGTTGTTTGCTAATAGACATACTGATTCTTTAGTCGTGTTCCAATCCACCACATACATATTTTTCTTTCTTATTCCTTCGAGCACAACTTCTCCCGAGGAATTATCCTTCACTTGACATTTATCTTTGAAGAATTCTACTAGATATCCTTTGTCACAAAATTAACTTGTACTCAACAAGTTGAATCTTAGACCTTCAACAAAGGATAAATCTTCGATTTTCAAACCATTTTGAAGTATCGTACCAATTCCTTTTGTTATGCCGTATCGTTCATTTCCACCGAATACGACTTTTGGTCCTTCGATATATTTAAGATTCAAAAGACTAGATTTATTTCCAGTCATGTGTCTAGAACATCCACTATCGAAGTACCAAATTTCCTGCAAATAAATTACACATTTTTAGGTACCCAACTTGATTTGGGTCCTTGGGTGCTAGTCATTTTTGGTACCCAAATCCACCTTGTACTCACTGATCTAAGTCTAGGTGATTGGTAACCATTAAACACATTATAATCATATTTAATTTTTGAAACCATTTTTGGTGCCGGTTTTTTAAAATAGACTCGATTTTTTGGCACTTGAGAAGAAGATTGTTTGAGCCTATGATAGGCATTAAATCTGGGCTTAGTCCATGGTTTAATATCATCAAACCAATCTTGTTTAGAGGGATAAAGTCTCCCTGCCCCAATTCTTGGATTCCTTCCCATTTTCCTTTGAGGGCTTTGTGCACTTGACTCATTGGTGTGTTTCCATTTAGGAACAAACTTTTGCCTTTTTATATACTCTTTAGGCGAAATATTGTTTCTTTGAGGCTTCGGCCTAACTGCATTAATTTTGACATTAGTTTGATAACCAATTCCTTGTCTCAATGTGCTTTCTTGACCTTTTACAAATTTTACTACTTGGACTTTATTATTTAAAGTAGTAGTATAATTGGTCAATTTCTCAGAGGCTTGAGAACACGATGGATCATAACCAAGTCTGGTTTTATCACTTGAGGGTTTTTGCATATTTACCATTTTGTCTATTATTTTGGATGAATGTGTGAATGTTGCTATAATCTCTCTAAGGTTGTGTTCTCTCACTTCCCTTGATTTACACTCTTCTTGAAGACAAATAATTTTATCTTTCAAGTCTTTCACTTCAAGTAGAGCATTTTGCAATTTTTCATTTAATTGATCTTTTTCAAGAATCAAAAGATAATTGCGCTCTTTGAGTTGAGAGTGAGTGTCCATTACGGTTTCACATTCTTGCATTAAGTGAAAGAAGGACTCTCTAGAAAATGAAGAATTTATAGAATCGTAAGAATTAGATGTTACCTCATTTTCCTCATTTTCATTTGCCATAAGACACATGTCCTCGTAGGGTGTGTTGTAGGAAATACTCATGCAAAACATTGCATTATCATCCTTTGAGGTGTCACTTTCATCACTAGAAGATTCCTCTGACTCACTTATTTCAAGTGGGTCACTAATAAGTGCTTTTCTTCTCTCTTTTGTGAACCTTTTATCTTTGGTCTTGGATTCTTCCTGTTGAGAGTTAGAAATATTTGTATATTGACTTTTACTTACCTTGGGGTGTGGACAGCTTGCTGCAAAGTGTCCAGGTTTTCTACAATTGTAACACAAATTTGAATCTTCCTCAACCATTTCTTTCTTTGAATTCTTTGTTGCATTCCACGATTTTCCTTGTGGATTTTTCTTGTAGTTGCTTCTCTTCATAAATTTCCTAAATTTCTTGACAAAGAGAGCAAATTGATCATTAGGCAATAATTCAACATTTTGTACTGACCTTGAAGTTGATGGTTGCTCAGCTACGAGTGCGTTGTTCTTCTCTTCATGATTTTCCTCTATTCTTGATTTCATCTCAAATTCATAAGCTTTTAGATCACTAAACAGCTTATTGGTTGATAGGGTTTTTAGATCGCTATGATCTCTCATGGCCGTGACCTTCATGTCCCATGTAGATGGTAGACCACGTAGAATTTTGAAATATCTTTTCCTAGATCATTAATCTCTCCTAAGATTTTAGCAAATCTTGTTTCCATGTCGGTAATATTCTCGTCGTTTAGCATTTTGAAATACTCGAATTTCTTTAATGATATGGTGAGCTTATTATCCATTTCTTGCTCGTCTCCTTCACCAATTTGAATGAGCGTTTCCCAAACTTCTTTCGTGGATTGGCATTTTCGAACTTTTGGGAATATCGTCTCATCGATAGATTTAAAGAAAATATCATTGGCAATATTATCCAAGTTATTTCTTGTTCTATCTTCACGAGACCATTCCGCTTTTGGTTTTGGAATGTATTGTTGAGTGTCACTTGTTTGTACGGATGAAGTGTTGACTTGTAAAATCTCAATAGGACCACTCGTAACCACTTCCCACATTTCATCATGTAATGCATATAGATGTACCTGCATGCGAATTTTCCAATCATCAAATTTTTCTAAGGAAAATAGTAGATTTTGGGCAAGAGCCATATCTCTTTTCATCATCTTGATTTTTCGAGATCTGTCTAGCAGTCAACGTTGACTCAGATAGACAACTGCTCTGATACCAATTGTTAGTCCCGATAGGGTGGTGAAAGTCTGGGGGGGGGTGAATAGCCTTTCAAACTTTTTCACAATAAATAACTCTTTGGTAATTTCAACTCTAAGTAACAAGTAAATAGAGAAGTAATTAAATTTAAATGCACAGCGGAATAAATAAGTGTAAAGAGTTATGCCAAAACAATAATTTGAATCACATGCACGTGTGGAATTAATGCTCAGATGAGGTGTAAGGATGACATGAATATCTTGAATATTTAAAGGAGATGGTTCACTCAATATTTAACAATAATATTCAAGACTATAGATAAGATTTCGTGTCACGTCGATCATATGATAAATGTTACATGCAACACGTCAAACTTGCTTAGAATAATTCAAATGTTAAGCATGGAATGTTTGAGTTACATGGATACGTGAAAACACACTAAACCCGAAGGATTAAAATTAACAGTGAATAGTAACTGGGTTAGACGGATAAGATAGATAAATAGAGCGAATTAAGTAAGTGATGTATGTAAATGAGAGAGGCAATTTTTAGCGGTTCGGAAGTGGCATAATTTTCCTATTCCACTTTACTCCATTCACTTCTAGAAGTAATTCACTATTTTCCACACACAGTTACAATAGTGAATAAGCGCTACACAAGCACTTCTTCTGGATGTCTTGCACACAGCTACACCCAACTCCGAGTGTCTCGCACACAGCTACACTCAACTCCGAGTATTTCGCACACAGCTATACTCAACACCAACTAAATGTTTTGCACACAGCTACACTTAGCAACTACGAGTGTTTTGCACATAGCTACACTCACTGGAGTATTTTACACACAACTATACTCTTCTTAACAATTACAAATACAAAGGTAATTGTATCTCTCTACAACTATTTTTGAGACTATTCAGACTAAGTCTCTAATGGATATTTGAGCACTTTCACTTCTTATCTCGTGTGTATTCACCCTTTTTGTATTCACCTCTATCACTTTCTATGTTCGTATATTTCTTCAAGTCTTCATGGCCTTTTTATAGATAACCAAATATATCCGTTGGAGTAGGATATTTTGATATTTGAAGTTTGAATCTTGTAGCCTTATATTGTTGACAATGGTAGGTCTTCAATTTTGATTTGATTGTCAACTTGCCTGACAAGATAATATTTTATTTCAACTTGATTTTCAAGTTGTTTCTAAAATATTATTTTCCTTGTCTATTTTGAAGTTCCAACGTCTCTTTTGCAATAAGTTCTTCTGATAGAATTTATTTCTAGGATAAGATCTTTTATCCATGCATTCATAAATTTATCGCCGTTCTGACCATATCTTTAGACAATTTGGATTCTTGTGACATGTGAGATGTATCAATATAAATTCTTTTCGAATTTATACAATTTCTGATCTTCTTGCTTCTTTGTCACATTGTGCTTGTTTGACTTGACACTTCTTGCTTCTTTGACTTGAAATTGTACTTTTCTGATTTGGTCACAATGTGCTCTTTTCGCATCTTGTTTCTTTGACTTTGGCACATTGTGCTTGTTTGTGCTCCTTCTTTGAAATCCGGCTTATAAAAAATAAGTCTTTGGGGGGGATCGATCTCGGGTGTGATCGTTGTGTGTAAGGATTTCTACCATTTCACTATTAAGCTCATCCCATCTTTCTTTGCTACACCATTATTTAGTACTTTAGTTCCGAATGAATACTTGTAGGACCAAAATTAATTCTCCCAATTAATTTTGTTCTTCATGTAGTAGACTTTCCTTTGTATACTGACTTGATATATTGAATTATGATGCTTGTACTACACACCTAAAATCTAAGGGGATCTAAGATACATTTGGCTCATCAAAACTTTATTATAAAAATATTCCTATCAAATGTAGATGCCATACCATTATTTAAAGAAAGTACCAAATAATCAAATTGTGTTTGTAGTCTAATGGTTAAGATAATTGCCTTCGAAGCAATAAACCCGGGTTCGATTCCCGGTAAATGCATTACCTTTACATTTGTTAAGCTTAATTTCGTTAAGTTTGGCCTCTCGATTTAAGCAAACCTGCAACCCTATGGACTAAACTCTTTTCAAATTTATTATATAAATTCTATTTTATATATATAATTTTAAATAAAACTTATATTCACACTTCTATTAAACAAACTTTTATATTTTACCAGTTTGTAATTTTGATATCAATTTATTCACCTCTTAATATTTTTAAAATATCTACTAAAACAAGTTGGTTCAATCGATTGTTGAAACTTGAAATGAAGGCTTCGTATTATTTTGATTTTTGTAATTTTATTATTTTTTTCTACATTACCCTCTATTATATCACTTACTTTTTCATAAATACATATGGACCCCGTCAGTGTATACTTTTGTAGCAAAATATTCTGGTAATTATTTATTATTTTTAACTTATTGATTTTCATAAGAAGGTCTTTGGTTCGAACCTAAGGAAGAGACACATGATGAAATATTGCATTGAATCCAAGAATTGTTTAAGGATATGCGCTTAGGCCTCACCAAGAAATAGAGATTCAAAAATTACATAAATTATATTCTCATAACATTATGACATTCCCGATTGAGAATGTAGATGTCATAACAATATTTAAAGAAAGTACCAACTAATAAAATTGCGTTTGTAGTCCAACGGTTTAGATAATTGCCTTCCAAGCAATAGACCCAGGTTTGACTCCCGACAAACGCATTACATTTACATTTGTTAACTTTCTCGATTTAAGCAAACCAAACATTCAGCCCTTGAGCTTAATTTCGTTAAGTTTGGCTTCTCGATTTATGCAACCCTATGGACTAAACTCTTTTCAAATTTATTATATAAATTCCATTTTATATATATTATTTTAAATAAAATTTATAGTCACACTTCTATTAAACAAACTTTTATATTTTACCAGTTTGTAATTTTTTATATCAATTTATTCACCTCTTAATATTTTTAAAATAATTACTAAACCAAGTTGATTCAATCGGTTGTTGAAACTTGAAATGAAAGCTTCGTATTATTTTGATTTTTATAATTTTTATTATTTTTTCAACATTACCCTCTATTATATCACTTACTTTTTCATAAATACACATGCACCCCGTCAGTATAAACTTTTGTAACAAAATATTCTGTTAATTATTTATATTTTAACTTACTCATTGATTTTCATAAGAAGGTCTTTGGTTTTGTAATACCCAGTATCTTAGAAATATAATTATATCTATGTTTATTAAATATGGTTAGCAAGTCAAAGCTTATCCAAATTTAATATTTGATAAAATTACTAAATTGTCCTTACCCTTAAAGGTTAAGAAATCACTCTGGTCTTTGGATAAACATCTCTTTTGAAAGAAGATAAGAGGAGTGGACTAGAGAGATAGAGGAAAAGAAAACTCATGAAGCTTTGATCTCCATCTTTTTCAAGCTTAGGTCTCAAGTTATTGGAGTATTCTAGGTAAGCTTGACCTCCATATTTCACTCTTTTTTAGCTGGGTTTAACATTTGAGCCCTAAGATTGATGTTTGAAAATATTAGGAAATTTGACAAGGAGTATTTGGGTGAGCTAAATAGCTAAGATTTGGGTGTTTCAGTTAAGTGGTTAATTCTTCTCTCCTTATTTTGCAAAACCCGTATATTATCTATTTTGGAATCTCTACTACTTTGGATACCCATTTTAGGGTTAGTATGAGTTAAAAATATTTTAGACTATGATATTTTTTGGGTTTGAAACGCTAAGTTGAAGTCTGGACTGGAATTCTTATGTATTTTGGAGTATGGACTAAAATTGTGTTTGGGTTTGTTGGAACTGTGTTTTCGGAATGGTTAAGGTAAATTTCTGACTGAAATTATCATTATGTGTAATGACGGTAGAATGGTTTATAGTTGTTGTGCTAGTAGCGGTTGGTTCAAAGTTTGATTTTGCTTGCTATATGCTTTATGTAATATATGCGTTATGTTTGTTTTATATGTGTAATATATGCTTATAAATTGAATTATTTATTTAAAGTGAGACTTGAACTCTTAACCTCATGCTTATTATTTTGATAATGGTTTATACCTTGCATATTTCTTAGTTTGATAAACTTATTATCTATTTTGGAAATATGTACTTTGTTATGTGATTTTAAGGAAATGATTTTTGCTACACCGGGCTATTTGATTATAAGAACTATTTGAGTGTTTGATCAAACTCATGAGGCAACCTACATTTTGTTGTTTGTTTTGTTTGACTTGGAACGTTCCTAATTGCTCATTCCGAATCGTCGAGCTTGACTCATCCCGAATCATCGAGTCTTTTGAATTATTTGTTGGAACGTTCCATCCGGCTCATTCTGAATCGTCGAGCCTGACTCATTTCGAATCGTCAAGTCTTTTTGGACCATTATACTGATAATGGCATGTGCCACATAATATAATGGTGGTTGTAGGTTGCTAATGGGTCATATGTTAAGGAATGGTTTGTGCTTTTGAAAGTATTGTTTTATGAAATATTATTGATGCCCATGTAGCTAAAGTTTCTTGTTTTGTGAGTCTATGTACAATATGATGGAGTATATTATGACTTTGATATAGTTTAAAGATCAAGTTTTGCATCTAGTTATTACTCTAAATCTTTTTGTATTATATTGGGGTTACTTGATCCAGGGTTGAGAGTAGTACCACTTACTGGGCATTAGCTCATTATTTGTATTTTTTTTTTCTCATGTTTCAGAGTAGTTAAGGAGATGTGAATAGCACGAGCACAAGTGGTGGGGTCGCGAAGGTGACTTTTGAAACTAGGAGACTTAGTCCTAATTTTGGAGCGTATCACGGATTTTGTTTATTTTGGATATTCCTTTGACCCTTTGTATCTTTGGTAATGCATTGTGCTTGGTTTGGTGTTTCTAATACATTTTGAACATACCACTCTTGATTGTAAATATTTAATAGTGGTGATTTTGATGAGTTTTTGGGAAGAACTAGTTGTTTAAATTTTGTCATATTGGGTCGATGAATTATTATGTACTCAAGTGTTGTTATGAAGGTTCCGAGAGGTATGTATGGCTAGGCTTCGTATTGTTACAGGTTTTCATGTAGCGATACAGCCGGGTCATGTCCTAGAAGTGGGGCGTGACAGAGTGGTATCAGAGCCTAGGTTTAAATCCTTAGTTGGTCAAGAAGTTAAGTTTATATTTTTGCAAGATTAGGCTTTAACCTAGCGGAAGATAAATTTTGGCTTTGGGAAAATTTTGGATGTGGTTTGCTAAACATTTTCGCTAATGTGGTCCTACTTTCTCTGTTTTGAATTTAAGGAGTATTGCTTTACAAGGATCATGAGGGGGTTCCTAAATGTGGTCGAACTCGTCGAGTTGGGCTGTTGTTAAATGTGTCGCCTATTCGGAATATAGTTGTAGATGTTTACATGCTGTGTGATTAAGGTTCTTCGCATTATTTTATTTATGAGAAGTTGCAAATGATTTAAATTTGCAAGCTAAGAAGTTGAGTGATCATTTGTATGTTAATAAACCGTATGGGGCAGATGGTGGCGACATATACTTGGTTTCAAGATTGTCATCTACAAATTAATGGGAGTTATGTGTCAATTGATTTAATTCAGCTAGATATGCAGGATTTAGATGTGATATTAGGAATGGATTGGCTATCCAGAAACTATGCCTACATTGATTGCGCTCGTTAGAATGTGGTATTTTAAATTCCTGGACAGTCTATCTTTACTATTGGGACACTTTCCTAGGAGTGGAGTGTTGGTTTCGGAAGTGCCATTGAAAGTAATTTCTGAATTGAAAGCTAAGAAAGAATTGGCAAAAGGGTGTAGCGGTTTCTTGACTTATGTAATGGATACCCACCAGAAAGAAGTCAAGTTAGATGATATCCCAGTTGTTAAGGAATTTCCATACGTGTTCCCAGAGCGTTTACATAGGAATTTCCATACGTGTTCCCAGAGCGGTTACCCCTTAAAGGTTAAGAAATCACTTTGGTCTTTGGATAAACATCTCTTTTGAACGAAGATAAGAGGAGTGGACTAGAGAGATAGATTGTTATGAATATATTGTAAATTTTGATGATCCGAATGTATTTTTGAAAGATCAAGTAGTCCCCATTTTTGTTCTATTTGAGTCAGTTTGAGTCTACGGAGTATGGTGTACCCATATCATGCAACCCATGTACAAGTCTGGAAAATCACATGTTGATTTTAGATGTTAAGCGCGATTATAGCTTAACACAATTATGATGCGGATAAGTTGCCAAGAACCATGCTAGAGGAGTTAGAAGAAACGCGTGTGAGCTATGCCAATTGATCTTAAGTTCAAATCTCAAGTGAAGCATTTTTAAGTTGCTTGGGAGACTAGCTTGGACCGTATGAGAAACTAGCTTAAAGTATACCAAACCGTATGAAAGACTAGCTAACATGGAGACTAGCTAAGAATATGGAGACTAAGTAAAACGCACAAGTCTCACAAAAGCCATGCACCATATGGAGAAACACACAAAGTATGGTGGACCAAGCTTAAATTCGAAACAGAGCATCTCACCATGAACAACTATGAAGTTTTTACAGAGGTTCCAGCTTATTATTTTACAAAGGATCATGAAAGAGAAAATATCTGATATATTTTCATTTGAACATCAAGTTTTTACGGTGGAACCAGAGACGCTCGAAGAAGGCTGATTCGCGGAGAAATTATTTTATACTCAAGCAAGAATCCACAGATAAATTATTTGATCAACTTGACATGTCAGAGAATTTATGGAGGACAAGAAATATCAAGCTTGCCGCGCCGAACTTATTCAAATTTTGGAGGCTACAAAATTCAAGACACGGCAACGGGCAAATTATTCAAATCATTTGACAAAAGGAGAAAAGACATCTACCTAATATTTCAGATCAAGTTGACAATATCTTTTGATCAACTACAATTCAAAATGGACGATCGAGATCGAAAGTTGATCAACGGGCAAATAGCTTTTACTAGCTATAAATT